TATATTCATATACATAATGTTTTGCAACTATCACCTCTATCTAGTTCTAGAACATTTTCTTCATCACCAAAGAGACCCCATATCCATTAAGTAGTCACTCCTCATTCCTCACCTCCCCCAAACCCTGGCAATCATTCATTTGCTTTCTGTCTCTATGGGTTTATCTATTCAAAATATTTCAAATAATCGGATCCAAGCATTATGTGTCGTTTTGTGTCTGTCTTTTTTCACTCAGCATAATATTTTCAAGGTTCATCCATGTTGTAGCATCATTAGCCCTCATTCCGTTTTTATGGCTGAATAATATTCCATTGAATGGATACACCGTGTTTTATTTATTCATTCACTCATATGTTGATGGACATTTGGGCTATTTCCACTTTTTGGCTATCATGAAGAATTCTGCTATGAACATTCATGTACGTGTATTTTTTGAATTATATATCAGGGAAATTAGTATATTTTTATATATCAGAGAAAATAGTCTTTGGCTTATGATAGGTGTTGCAAATATTGTATTTCAGTTTACCATTTGTCTTTGACTTGGCTTATGGTGGCTTTTGCAAGTAGAGTTCTGAAAAAATTGCTATGTAATTGAACCTGTCCAGGTGGGTTTTGTGACACAGTTAAGAAGGCCATCCTTATACTTGCGGTTATAAAATAATTCTTCCATCAAAGCTTCCACTTATCCACTCATTTCCTTATCAGTCAAACGGGGATTAAAAACAGCCCTACTTGTCCCCCAGGGTTACTGTGAGTACCAAATAAGAAATGATATGAAAGGGCTTTTAAAATATAAAGCAGTATATATACAAAAGGCATGTTGTCATCATCACTATTAATTGTATCAGATTCTGGCACTAACTAGCTGAGTTGTTTTTGCTTTCATTTTGCAGAGCAGAGATTGAAGGGCAGAATTATTCACTGAGCCGGCCAAGGATACTTTAGTTGGTAGCAATATGGAGAATGTCACAAAAGATGTCAACTCTTATTAGTCATCTTAGGAGGGTTTCATATTTGACCAGAAAAATAAAACTGCATTAAACCGAAAACTATTCTGGTCACTCTTCCTTCAGTAGAGTCTTTTTTTTTTTTCTTTTTCTGCCAAGAAAAGAAACCAGTTCTGTGAGTTTTGTGTTATTCAGCTGTACTTGTAATTTAAACCTCATCAGTGGCCATTTGTGACACGATTTTCTTGTATTTTTAACCCCAAATTCTTTTTCTTAAAATATTTTTTCTTGATTGTAGAGAGAGAGAGAAGAAGGGAGAGGGGGAGAGAGAGAAACATCGATGTAAGAGCAGAACATCAATCAGCTGCCTCCTGACCACCCCCTACTGGGGATTGAGCCCACACCTGGGCATGTGCCCTGACCAGAAATTGAGCCAGCAACTTTTTGGTGCACAGGACAATGCCCATCCAACTGAGCCACACCGGCCTGGGCCCCAATTTTTTTTTAAAGTAGCAAGCTTTAGGTTGAATACTATTGATTGAAAAAAAAAATCAGTATTCGGCAGCCATTATTCGTATGATAATGGCTCTGAGATAGAATCATGTACTGGTTAAGTCCTTGGACCCTGATCTTGGTCAGACTTGGGCTTGAATATGATTCAGTTAGTAATCCAGTGTGTGATCTTGGGCAGATTGCTTTGTGCTTCTATTTCACCACATGTAAAGCAAGGATGATTTCAGCACCTGACTATTGTGTTGCAGCAGAAGTCAGTGATACAGTCTATATAGAGTACTTGGTCCAGTCCCTGTATGGAATGAGGGCTCGATAAATACTAGCTATTAGTATAATTCAGGAATATCTGAGAAAATTCATAAGATGAGCCCAAGGGAAATGGAATATACCCTTCTAGCAGATATTCCCATCCTGTGGTGTTGGCACAGATCAATGGTAGAGCCCTTTTCTTGAGGCAGACCACATTTATCTGGGGGAGAAATCCGGTTTCTGTTACTATCACGTGGTGTGGGGGGTAAGTAAGTAAGCAGTTGGTTCTCATATAGTAAGGCCATGTGGAGGGATGTGTCACAGAAGGGCAGCTGGGAGACTGGGGTGAGCTGTGGGAAGAACTGGAAGGAAAAGGGTGAGGACATTGTGCCAGGGGGCCTTCCCAGGTCACATCACCTTCTTGGAGACAGAAGCTTCTGGATGGTGTGATTCACTGTGTGCAGTGATATATTTGCCAGGGCACAGCCCTTTTCTTCTTTTTCCCGTTTTTTTTCTTTCCTTTCTTCCTGCTTTTAACCTGTGTGTCTGCGGGTCCCAACTCTTGTCCTAGGTCCAGCATGGTTGAGCCCTAACAACAACAAAAAATAACGTCTGTGGGATTTCTGCTATATGCCAGGCACTTTAAATCCCCAGTCACATTAGATCCTGTGCAATGAGTGAGATCATTTGGTAGATGAGAAAACCGAGGCTCAGAGAAGGCCCCCTATAAGCTGATAAGCGGCAGAGCCAGAATTTAAATCACCATCTGTCTTATACCAGAATCCAGCTTCTCCTGCCATTTAGCACATAGCTCTGTACCATACTTTGCTTCAAATTCATATGGGTTTTTGTGAATTCCTGTGGCTCAGTGCCCTACATACAGGTCTCCCAGAAATATTTATGGCTTTAAAATGTTAGTAGTGGATTTAAAATTTTAGTAATGAAGAGAATAGCTGACATTTATTTGTTCCTGTGTCCAATGGGCAACAAGCAGGTTAAGTCACTTGCTTTCCTTCCCAGAGCTGGTCAGTGGCAGAGCCAGGCAGGGGATCCCGTCTGTCACATGCCAAGATGCGCAGTGTTGACTCCCATTTTTCTCTGAGAGTCTAGGCTTGAGGCAGGGATGCTAATCTCTGAGCACATCTTTCTCAGGTAACATGTGTGGTGTTCTCTTTTTAAAACTAGTCCAAAGGGGAACCAAAGAGGGCCTGAGTATGTTCATGGGAAGGATGAGGCAGGGGGGTGATGGCAGTGGTTGTGGGCCAGTTGTCATTTATGAACTTTGCAAACTCCTGTCTCTGGGCTCGAAGCTGGAATAAGCTCTGTGATTCACCAGCTGGACTTTTCCCTGTGCTTTCTCCAAGTAGATCCTGTGCATTCCCATCTGTAGACCGTAGCTCATACTGTTTGCTCCAAAGGAATGCCCTGCTGCCCACGCTCCCCTCGCCATGCCTACCTGGGGAGACCCATTACAGCTCCACCCTCTCAAGGAAGCCTCAATGGATTGGCATGGGTAATCTATTCATTTCTGAACTTGAGTCAAGTAATTAATTATACATTCAAAAAAGGCAAATGGAAGACTATTTTGAGAAATTTGTGAAAATACCATACTCAGGGGATTATACTAGTACATATTAACAATAATCTTAACATGTGAGATCCCAGTGGTCAGGGACCCTATATAGTGCTTGATTTCATTGTTCAATCTTATTCTACTTTCAAGGCACATGAAATGGGTTTCAGCTGTCTAGTAGAATGTTTTGAGCATTTGCATGGGCGGAATCTGATCTGGTGTCAGACAGCCTAGGCTTGAATGCTGGTGACCTTGGGTAAGTTACTTCCCATATCTGTGCTTCTGTTCTTTCATTTGTGAAAGAGGGATTACTTATACTATGTTGTTAGGTTGTTGGGGGGATATCATAGGGTCATAATAATTGCTGTCATTTATTGAGTGCTTCTTATATGCTCGACACTGTGCTAAGCTTGGCTTTACATTCTTATTTGATCTTCCCAAGAGCTCCTTCATTCCTGAAGTCCCCTACCCTGCAATATTTTCTCTTCTATAGCACTTACCATCTTCTACCATATTACATAATTTACTCATGTTGTTTATTTTTCGTCTGCCCCTCCCAGGGTCTCCTGCCTTGCGCAGTTCCACAGGCACCATTCACAGTGCATTCTGAGTTCTGCTCTGAGAATATTAATGTAGTGACTTCCTGGAGTTGTGTGATGTGGAGACCTTGGAGCTTCAGGAAGGCAGGGATTTCCCCACCTGTTTTGATCACTGCTGTATCTCTGTGCCCAGAACAATGCCTTACCTATAGTAAGCTTTCAGTAAATATTTGTTGAATGAAATGGGCTCTAAAGAGAGCCCATTTTCTTGGTGAGAAAACTAAGGCTCAATGAGTAATTGATTTGCCTAAAGCCCAGCGAGAGACAAAGGCAGCTGGGTGTTTCTAGCATGCTTGCCCTCAAAGGCTTTGCAAATCTGCATGTCTGAAACGTCTGGCATTGTCCCTGCTACCCCACAATTGCTCAAAAATATATTAATGAACATGCCTGCACGGGTCAGCCCCTCAACTCTGCTAGACAATTCCCACAGAGTGACAAATTGTCACAGAGCTGTTGCTTTAAGAAATTGGATAAATTGCACAGTACAAAGAAAAGGTGGACCTTTCAGAGATTTTGGAAGAAAATTCCCTAATCCCACTGCTAATGTTAGGAGTTTGCAGGGGCCTCTGTGGCTTTCCTAGCCTGATTCTTTTTCCTGCTGCCTTCCCTTTTGTGACTGTCTCTTCCCCTTTTTGCTTGCAGTGAGTTCTGCTCTCCTGTAGGCTACAATGTGTCAGTTGTTATAAAATCCGGGAGGTGGAGCTTAGTGACGAGGGCGAGGTTGGTGGGGGAGTGCTCAGCCAGCCCTGCAGGGCGAGCAGTCCTACTCTGGGTTCACCGGAGCTTAAGCCTTGCAGCAGAACTTCCTTCTCGCTCTTCTGGCTTTGATCCTCACTGTACATCAGAGCAGAGGCGCCGAAGGGAGGGAGGATGCGAGATGACTGGCCCTTTGGCAACCTGACCATCTCCTTAGCAGAGCCTTGGAAAGACAGCCAGAGACTGACTGCAGGACCAAGGAGGCGCCACACCTCTTGTGGATGTGTGTCTGTGTGTGTGTGAGTGTGTGAGTGGGTGAATGGGTGTGAGTGAGGGTGTGTGTGTGTGCATTGTGACTGTGTGTGTGCGTGTCCAGATGAGTGTGCGAGTGCATGTGTGAGTGTGTGTGTGTGTGTGTGTGTGTGTGCTCTTGGTTTTTATTTTTTTGAAGAAAAATCTTGAAAATCTGGGGCAGGTTACGGTGCTCGTAGGGTGGTGATTCTTCTTTTGAAAGAGTAGCTGACCAGACCAATCTACTAGAGACATTTTTCGGCGAGTAAAGATTATTTTCCTTCCAGGAGAGGGATTTTTTCCCCCCCGGCTTTGCAGCCAAGTGAAAGAGATTAGCCCCTAAACCTGTGAAATCGACCAGAGCCGTGTGAGAGAGAATACGGGAAGAAAAGGAGATATAAATTAAATAGCCTGTCAGTGCCTTTGGCCACGTTGGAAGATGTCATCTCAAACTAAGTTCAAGAAAGACAAAGAGATCATTGCTGAATATGAAGCCCAAATAAAAGGTGAGATGCGGGCCGGGGACTCATGCCTCCCCTCCCCTTTCTTATTCCCTTGCTTTGGCTTTCCCCCCTTTCTCCTCCCTGCCATGATGAAATGTTGTTATGCATCAATAATCTTATTGTGAGGAGAAACAGTGGCAGCTGTACAAGTCCAGACTGGTTTCAGCTGCAGAGAGCGCTGGTGCTGGGTGTATGGATTATGAAGTGGTAGCGATCACTGCATTGCAGGTGTGCGAGGAGAATCCGACCCTGGATTTAGGAGTGTCTCAGGTACTCCATCATCTTGGCCATGACATGTCACTCTAAGGCCTCCTGAAAGTCCCTTAATATGGTGTCTATTTGTTACGGTCTACTATGTTTTTTTCTTTCTCCTTTATGTTGTTGTTGCTTTGCCTCTGCGCCTTTCTCTGGGCTGAAATTCACATGCATGTGCCCAGGGAAGTAGTACAGGGCGGCTGCACTGCTTTGTCAGTCTCTTAGTTGGCCTGGGTTGCCATGGATTAACTGTTATGGGGCATATTGATCCAAACTAATGCAGGCATTTAGGTATAAGGAAGGAGCTTGGTGCAGAAAATATATTCTCTTGCAGTGTGCAGCCCTAGTCACCTTCTATGCACTAGTGTAGGGTCATCAGCTTTCATTCAAAGCCAACAGCTCAGTGCGCTGTGTCGGCTGGTAGGTGCTGCCTGGCTTCCGTGGTGCCAGGGGAAGCCAGCCAGGAGGGTGAGATGACCTCTGGCTGCGTGTTCCAGCTTCGGTGCACACCCCTCTCAGAAGCCCCTCCCTAAATCCACAATAGCGAGGCGAAAAGGACACTGGACATAATCGCATAGACAAATGCAGGCAGAACCCTCATACAGGCCAGGCTTCTCCCACCTTCATGAGTTCTAGGCTTAGCTTTGGCAAGGAAAACCTGAAAGCACCATTGCTCATGCTCACCCTTTCTCTGAGGATGTACCCTTAGGGAAGCTGGGGCCTGCCCCTCTTAGCATCTGTTTTCTTTCTGGTCACAGTTCTCCTTGCTGTGGTGGTCTCTCTTAGAAAGAGTAAAGACAGGATACATCTTCAGTGGATGTTGGTGCCTCCCTCCCCTTGAAGTGATGAGTAGACTGTTCGGCAAGTTGGTTTTTGGGGCTCAGCCGATCTGAGGTTGCCACACCTGCTTCTAGGTGCTGCTGCAGCTCAAGACTCAGTGACCCAGAAAGGCGGTTGCCTCCCCAGGAACGGCCGAAGGCCGGGCAGTCACAGCTTCTGTCCACGCTTCAGATGCTTGGGAAACTTTGAGAGGGGAGCAGCCAGTCTCGCCAACTGTCTTGTGCCTTTTAGTTCTGGTCGAACCTTGCATGCTAATCACCTCTGGGTAGACCCCAGGATGAAATAAACAGAAAACCCTCTGCTCTCCTCCCGTTTAGTGTTCAGTTCAGTGTAGAAAACAGTGATTTATGATGTTTCAGCCTTGCTGAAAATTTAGAAACAAGCCCTTGTCAGAGATTTGAATTTACCTGACTGCTCACTACAAAAACCCAGTTAGGGGGTTTATATTTTCTAAGATTAAATTGTGTAATTTTTAAAAAATACACAGAGGTTCCCTTGAAAAAAGCCATAGTAGATAAGGGGATGTTGAGTTTTGGACAGGTTGGTAGGATATGTGCTGATTACTTTGAAGGATTGCTACCACTGGGCCAGTGAACTTTGCTGGAAGATCTATTAAACATTTATGGCTCTGGCTGATTCTTTTACTTTTTATATTTCACCTTTATTTTAAAAACTAATTTGCAAGTACAAGGTAATGCATTTCAGCAGAAAATGTGCCCAAATGATCTTGTCCCTTCCAGACTCTAAACGCCTTTGCATTCTACTTCCAAGAGTTTAAATTTATTCCTTTAGTGTTGACACCCACACAATTAAGGTCAGGATGCTGCTGTGCCCCAAACCATCTGGAATCTTTTCTTTCAAAATTCTTTGTTCATCATCATCATTATTGTGTGCACAGGGCTCTCCAGTTTCTGTGGCTCACTCCCAGATATCCCTACTCTTGGTTTACACAAGGTTCAGAAAGGGTTCACATGAACTCGGTGTTAGAGATGATGAAACTGAAGCTTCGTCATGTTAAATGACTAGCCCAAGGTCACAAGGCTGAAACGTGAAGGTAGCAGGCTTTCTGCCAGGCCCAGTGTTCCCTGGTACATTGTTTGCCTGCAGCTGCCCCTGGAAGGATTGATGTCAGTAGCAGATGGCAGTTTTGTGGCGGGGATGGCTGCCTCTTCGTGGCATTCCATTGTTTTCCCTCTTACTTTGATCCCTTGCCTTTGTTGCTTGCCTCTGAAGAATGTTTGACCAATCACCAAAAATAATGCCTGATGCCAGTTATCTTTCTCCCTGGGCAGCATTTGACCAATCTGTTGCAAACACACCACCTAGTTAGACAGATTTTGTCCTCTGTGACTTCTGTGAGGGGAACTTTTGATTTTTAAAAATGATACTGAGTTCTTTGTAAACGTACTGTCTTTTATCTCTTTTTGGAGAATTTACTGACCCAAAAAGGAAATGTCTTAAAGCAGTTTTTCTTCCTGTTGTAAAAAATTTCAGACTCATGCCTTTTCTTGCTTCATCAGATACTTGAAGTCCTTTGATTAAATACCTGCAATGCAGTAGTATACCATGTGCTTGTTCATTTCCAGTGATGGGGAACTCACCACTTCCAAAGCCCACGTACTTGGTCTTTGGACAGCTCTGGCTGTTGTAAGTGGTTTTATGTTGGGTTAAGTAAGTCTCTCATCCATTCATTGGTTCTATAGTATCTGCCCCTTGGGACTTCATAGAACAAGACAGATGCTTCTCCATGACTGCCCATTGGATGTTTGGAGACTCTGATCATAGCCCCCTAGACTATGATTATCCTCATTTGTTGATTTACAATAATTCTCTGCTGCTTATCTTCACTCTCCTTTGACTCTACTGCATCCTCGGTTGCAAACTCCGGTGCATTTGGGTGCTTGGCACGTAGAATAAATGAGTGATGATGGCCAAGTAAGATGATTTGTGACAGGTGTTCCACCACCTCAGCAAAGGCAATATAAGAAGGGGTGGTAGTGATTATGATGGGCCTGAGGGTGCATGTCCTGTACAAATGGGCAATCACTACCTGGATTCAACCAGTTGACCATTTAGGAATGGAGGCCCAGCCAGATCTTTCCATTTTCCAACAGATGGCAGAAATCTGGATGAGAGCTTTATGCTTTTTAAAAATATTTTGCTTTATTGCTTAAAGTATTACAAAGAGTATTACACATGTCTTCTTTTTTATCCCCCCTTGACATTCCCCCGGCCTCCCCTACCCCTCCGTGTCTTGTGTCCATTGGTTATTCTTATTTGCATGCA